TATATATATATATATATATATATATCGTGTGATGTAATTATATATATAATAATTACTAGATATATAATTAGATCACATTTAGAATTTTGCTATTCAATCAGGCGAACTATCTTTTCATTACAAATTGATTTTGTGCAGGCCATTTATTAACTAATTAGCCAATAAAAGCTGATATAAATATTAATTTACGAATTATTTGATTATCAAAGTATTTACTTAGTTTTGCAAGTATTCAATAATGGGTCCAAAATGCAGAAAAATTAATTAAGAAAACTTAAGAAGTTGTGGAAAAGTCTATCGTGAGGTCAAATCAAAAAGATTCATTCACTTAACGTATTTAAAAATGTTTTCACCATCACTAATTAAAACAAAATTAACGTTCTGCGCAACTAAATATTATTGCACTAAGAAAAACGTTGGGAAAGAAAAGTAAGAAGTGAAACAAGCGTTGATGCAGTAGTACAAAATACTTGAACAAATTGATACATTCTAAGTGAAAATTATGCCGCAAATTTCCGATAGTGAAATAAATATAAAGAAATAAAATATTAAAAATTTATTTCAGTGATTTTTACGACAAGGCAACAAGTTGATAAATGTGAAAATGAAAATAATAAATAATTAATGATGGAATTGCCAACTGTTCATGCTTGACAACTTGATGCATAAGTTTTATGCAACTAAGTGCTAACTGAGAATAGGCTCTTTGAAATTCAAATTTATAAGTCACAGATTGCTGTTTTCACAAATCTGCGTGATTTTCAAAAAAGTGCTCTTGATATTTTTACAGATTTTTATGAGCAATTCGCATATAAAAACCACTAAATGCAATTTTTTTATGTGTGTGTAATTGCAATCTTACGCCATGTTAGCATGAGCCTGATGCAAGGTATCTGCAAGTTAGCAGTTGACATGTAAGTAAATGCAAATAAAGAAGTGAAGTGGTTAGAAGTGAATGAATATTCACCATAATAAAAAAGGCATGAAGATGATTAGAGTGCTTAAATCAGTAGTGCTAAGTAGGAGAAGCAGAAAAAAATTAAATAAAATTACAATACAAAAAGCACTAACAAAGTGCTTGAAAAGTTTATTTTCATGTGAAATGTGCTGAAAAGTTTGGAGGAAGTGTTTGAAATAATTCATCGAAGGAAAGTCGTTTTCAAGATGTCGTTCAGATAGAGAGCCACAGCTTGAGCGTTGGAAGCTTGATCACCTTGCATGAATGCCAGTGTCTTCTCTTGACATTCCAATAATTTTCGTTGCAAAACTTCGTTCTGATCCCGCAAGAAGCGACTTTCCTGCTCGAATTGTCGTGAAGATGTTTCAGAAACTGTTACTCGAGTACTGAAGCGAATTGCATCAGACTGAAATTCAATGACTTCTAAATAAATTAACTTCTTAAAAATCACTTCTCATAACTTCAACGTTGAAATAAAACTTTAGAAAAGTGATAGTCTTTAAAGAAGTAAATTGCAGCAATTTATTCATTCAGTCGTCTTCATCCTTATTTTAAATTAATTTTGTAATATCGTGCATGACTGAAACTTGGAAAATTGTTTTAAACAATCAGTTTTTCACATAGAAGAAAGATGCAAAATAATTTTTAAACATAAAAAATGAAGCAATTACCATTTTTTGATCATTTTTTAATAATCATCTGTGATAGAGCAAATGACATTCACTGCTCTTATTGCTATCTCAATTGTGACTTTGAAAGTTTATCAATCACACACTTTAAAAATCTCTTACCGAAGTCACTGGTTGATGATTCCACTGATAAAATCCACTTTTTAAAAATTAATCATTGGAAAAAAAACTCTCAGAAAAAATTAGAATTTAGCAGAATTATGAAAGCAGGACACGCAAACGAGTTTCTCAACAAATCAACTCTTTCAGTGTAGCTTCTTGCAAGAATTTTTAGTTGGATGCCTTTTCAAAATGCAGATTACTTACTTAAAAATATACACAAACACATCGCAATAAAATACTTTTGATTACCTATTTACCTTTGTTTGGCTTTCAATCAACTTTCAAGCGCATTTCCTCCGAAATTTTACATGTTATCAAGCAGTACCTTAACTACAAAATACTAAAATCAAAGCACGACGTTTTGTAAATCAAACTTACTTGAAGAGTAGCAGTTCGTTCCTCCAAGTATTGACATCTACTCTCGGCCACAGCAAGTTTCCCTCGATAGACTGCGCATTCAAAGCATTCCCGAGAATCAGGAGGTGAAGTGCCATTACTAGTACTGCTATGTGTTTCAGAAGGCGAAATATGATTTTCGATAGTATCTGATGCCTCACTCAGTACATGCTCTTCAATAACATTGTTACTGCTATTGGTGTTGCTTCTGTTGCTAATGATAATACTATCCAAGCTTTTGTTCTAAAAATAACTTTATTAGACAGTAATGGAAATAAGTAATATGTCTGACAGCGATCAATAATTAATTGGTGCGCATTTTCGCTTAGGTTTAACAGTATGCACAACCGACGAAATGAATGTTCCTGAAATTTCAAAAACGAACAACCAAACTAACAAATGAATTGATGCGTTGTGAAAGAAGAAATGATGTCTCACACTTGTAAAACGTATTTTACAATGCTTGCTTAAGAATATTATTCAAGTAATTAAGCAAGAAATGCAATTTATTGCACATACGTATGAAACGAAACATGTCTTCGCATCTCTGATCAGAAATGAGTTAAAATGATGCATGCACTAATTGAAATTCCAATCTCAATTTGAGATCAGATTTCGCTAATCAAGTGCTCTACCAAAAGTAAACGAGCTTAGTATCAACCTTTAATATTATTTTTTGAAATTCACAACTACTTTACCTTCATTCATCACTGAGAGATTTAGAACTGATAGAAAACAACGCGGTGAAGTTAAGGCTAAAATGACAAGCGCTAATTGATATTGATATTTACCGGAGTATCAGTGAGCAGCAGACTTTTGCACGTTTCATTTTTCAACGCAGAGTTCATATCATTTTTCAATGAATTGCTTATGGCAGAACGCAAATTTGGCATTGTACTAAGTGAAGTTGTGCGAATGACAGCGGTATCGGAAGCCGGTCTTAGCAAGGATTCATGCAAAGCTCTAAATTATTGATTCCAAAGTGTTTACATTTCTTCTGTGCTATAATTTGCATACAAAATGATCTCTAAACGCAGATAATGCATTTATTCGATATTATCCGTAAATCACACTGAAAATAATTTGTACATGAAAAAACTTGTCGGATTACAAGAAGAAACTTGTCGAAAGCAAACTTGTTCGTTTCTTGGGCACTTTTGGGACGTTCTTTGTAATCAGCGTTTGTACTGCTCACAACTTCACGACTAGTTCTAGTTACAGCAGATGAATCTTTTGCACTGAATTCCACCTTAAACTTCATTTCAAACAAACCTCATTTTCAATCTTGTCATGATTTAAAGTTAATAATTTTTCAGAAATAGGCATTTATTCCCAGATGAATCTGGGAAATAATAATTTTGATTGTTGCTTTGCTCATTCTCACCCTTTGTAAGCATCATAAATTATTTGCTTGAAATATGATTCTGCATGTTTAAAAGGTGTTATATTTTTAAAAATTTTGTATATTTCAGATCTTATTCTATTTGTGTTCACAATTTCAGCTGCATGACAAAACAGTTTACAATGTTTGATGATTGCTGGTCATTTGTAGTGTTTTGCTCATGGGTTAAAATTTCATCGTCATACTCCTTGTCGACATTGATTTCGTCATCTTCCGGAATCAGATTAACCCTAGATTCTTTCAGTGAACACAAATCTAATGGGTTCCCATCTGTTCCATCTGAAGCTAATTACTTTCAGTAATTAAGACTTATAATCAATAATTATCAGTGAAGATGAGCCAGCAATTACTAACAAATGACATTTTTTTTCATTTTCACAAATAATTTTGGGAATGATTGAAATTTTAATTAAAAATACTTTTATTTGCATGGTCGATTTTAGGATAAGTAGCCAGCCAAGCAGCTAAATTGAAGCTTGATTGTGCTACTAAATTGTTGAGCATCAGACGTTCACGTAATTTTGACATTAAATCATCTACATGAGTTCCACTTCCGGATGCACCACGAAGCAATGCCATTTGTGGAAATAATGTCGCCGCAGCTGCTTGAAGTGCTAAAATCAAGCAAAGTAAGTGTCGTCGTAATTGATGGATGATTAAACGAATGAACTGAGTGACATTTTGAGTAGAAACTCACAAGTTTGGTCATTCAAGTTGACTGCCTGTTGCGGTGTAAGAGTCATAAGAGAATGAAGCTGCAACGGAGCAAATGGATTAGTTGTGGGAACACGTGGCTGAGGCATATGAAGCGTAGATGCTTGCGGAGAATGCCGTCCATCTTCCACAAGTACATTAGAAACTGTTAGATTCTCATTTTGCTGCTGTGTATGCTGCTGCTGTTGTTGATGAGGATTTTGGTGGCTTGTCGGTGGATTACCTTTACCTATGACTGGAACAGATATTGTCTTCCCTTCTTCTTTTGCCTAAAAATTTCCGTTTCATACTTGTCACATTTCTTTTCTTTTCTCGTTTACTTAAAATAACTAATATCAAATACTTCAAGAATAACTGAACTGATTTCAATTTCTCATTTACTTACTGTACTGATGTCCAATCACCGATTTCACTCTCATCTAAGCAATCTTAATTTATTTTCGATCTTAACTTAGTTCTGTTCACTTATTGCTTTTAGAAAGTGCAAAACAACTTTGCATTTTTTAAAAGATTTTATGAAAATTTTTATCCCTGAAATTTCACTTGAAGTAATAGTTGGATTTTAATAAGATTGCAGGTTTTGACAACCTGAATATGCATATGCAGACTGGTTTTATCCGGGAAAGCCCAGTTACAACATCTGCACATAAACATGCGCGAAATCTGATGCTGCTTGTACATATGTGCGCGAAGTGTTTCATTGCCTACAATTTGAATTACAGTTCGATATTGTATCGAAAATAACTCAATTTATTTTTGTTCTTGAGGTCAAAAGAATAAATTGGATTGATCAATTTAAATAACAAGGCTTAGCTTTCTGAAAAAAACTAATACTCGTTAGTTATCTTTATGCATGCACACTATCTATTTTGCTTGGAAATGTGAAATGTTTCATTTCTGAAAAGTGATATTGATAATCTGAAGTGAAAAATTTTCAAAAATGAATTGCAATTAAAAATTTATAAAAAATGAACTTTCACTACTAACATTAATGTATAGTCAAATCAGTGCGAAATTTAAACATTGGCATAAACATTTTTATGAACTTTAGACCAAGCAGCGAAATTGCTACAGTCAAATTCATCAATTAATAATAATAATTTCTTTATTAAAAAAAAATATAAATGCAACACACACACAGAAGAAAAATCAAATGGGGCAAAGGAAAGGACATGCAAGGAATTAATTATTTGCTCAATAAGCGATTCCTGTACGCACTACATTTCGATATATTTGTTTCAAATTCTGTTTTATCATTACAGTCAAAATTTCATACTCACTAACAGAATTAAGTTCTTAAGTTGTCACTTAAGGACAACGATTCGAGTAGTTCTCGTGCATTCTCTTCAACTTGAATTTCTATTAAACTGCATATGAAGAAAGAAGTCTTTGTCTTCCATTATTTTCATTCTTAATTATTCATTCACTCTTCAGTCTCTTCATTTAAGTATTGGTGTGATAGAAGTTTTTTCTTAATCAGTTTTTTATCTACTCTTCTGATAGCCATTTTGTTAAACGTGGGAGAAGGTGCGTGTAGAGTTGCAAATCAGCGATGAAAAAGGAAGCATAACGAGGATTGCCTGCTTCAAATAAGTGAAACCACTTTCTGAAGGAGAAGAAAACTAAGAAGGAGTGATGCTCGAAATCTTTTTTCGCGAATTGCAACTCAAGCATCACAATGATATTCGTACTGAAGAAAAGTGACATACGAAAAAAATATTTTTTAAAATTTTAAATGAATGGAAGTTTCAGTTTTAATAATATGCGAAATTTATATTTTCGAAATAAAGTTACACACGTGCAAAAATAGTATTATTTCTGCTTTTATTTACATCACTTTTTGTGTAGCGTACTGAAGAAATTAAAACGAGCATAACTACTTTCAGTTCAAATTAATAAAGATGATTTCTTTGCTAGTACAGTGAATCAATTATGAAATCAGTAAGCCTCAGCTAATTTAATGCTATCAAAATTCCTAGAAGCTTTATATCAAAAATAGATACTCAAAAAAATTGAAGATGCTTACAATTAACTAACTTATTGTTTCAATACAAAAAGCTATTTTCTGTTACATTACTGAGGAGAAAATCTTCACATTATTCTTTTTAAATCTATCACTCCCGTTGACAGTAACTATTATGGTAATGTGGTGACCATAACAATTAGACAGTCATAACAAGTTAGTAGTTCAATTTTCAAAACTTTCTGGGCTTTTTCATTTATAACACTTGTATCCAAAGAACTGCAAGTAAGACCACTGAGAGTAAATTCTTTGGACAAGCATCCCAGAGTTATTCTAATTGAAAAGTTCTTTATTGAAAGCTGTTTTGAAGAAAAATCCAGATGTGAATGTTGACAGTATGAAATTAACAGTCTGCTTCATTGGATCTAAGCAGATTGTTTCCTTATAACTTCATCAAGGTGGAAAAAATAAAAGTAAAGATTAGAATTTGATACTGAGAGAAAAAATTATATTTATAAATAATAATATTACCACGTCGAATAATTGCAGTGGGACGTTGCGGAATAACACAATGATTGTCCGTAGTAGCTTGTTCAGTGGTACCAGATATTTCAGGATAATTTGCTTGACTGCCCGTAATTCCATGTTTTCTTGCAGTTTCTGCTGTCATTAGGGAATTATTTAATTCTCGGCAACTATTCACACGTGATTGTTGTTGATGTTGGTTCTGCTGCTGTTGCGGATCACCACGTAACTTACGTTTACGTGAACCTGCGAAACCTGCGCATTCATATGCTCGTAGATATTCGTGTTTCCGTTGTAATATTCGGCAAACATTACTTTTAGCGATAGAGTAGCGTTCGGCAATGCTTGCTTGACTCATGCCGGCATTTTCTTCTGCTAGTCGGATTAGCTGCACTTTTTCTTCCAACGTCAACTCCTTGTAAGGCTTCTTTTTACGTCGTTCTGTTGTTGTTGTAGTTGGAGTGGAAGAATCAACTGCCATTTCGTCCATCTGACGTGAAAGCAATTTTTCTTCAGGTTTGGTTGCCGAGGATTCCATGCATGATACAACAGGTGATAGAGACACATTTCCACGTGGTTTAACAGGTTGAAAGGCCCCAACAAAGCCAATCTTTTGAGAATCATTGTTGCTAGGAATGCAGTGTTTGTTAGTGTCATTATCATTGTTCTCGTCATCATTAATCTCATGATTATTATTATTGCTATTAGTATTATAACTACAAATATTACTGCTATCACTACTACTATTTCCATTACTGTGTTTTGCATTTTGTAACATGAGATACGGTAAATGAAGCAACAATTCCCAGTTTTGCTTCGCTTCGCATGCAATGTGTTATTTTCTTGTATTTCTTCAATGAAGTCAGCAGTTCTTCCTTCAATTCATGCGATGAAGATTCTTGCGATGTAATGGCAAAATAGAAAAATGACCAGTTCAGCAGCGAGAGCAAGAAAATAGTAATTCTGCAAGGAAATCATCGAAATCCAACCAAAAAGTCTACAAATCACGATGGGTTCAGAACCGAGTCGAATATTCTGCTTTTCAGACACTCGAAACTTGGTATTTAAATCATAAAGCTAAGACACAACTTTGAAATGAAAAAGTTGCAAATAATTTAACGAATATTCGACTGCGATGTAAGATAAGTAAAAAGACGAATGTTACGGAGAAATTTTCAAGCGTGCGGTAGTGCCACGTAAATTAGAATGGTATGATTATTGTGAAGTTTAAAGTGCAATAATACAGCATTAAGTAATAGACTAGAATTAAGAGCTAGATAATGCAGTATTTAATAAAAGTTTAGTTTCAGTCAGGAAACTAATTACAAATACAATAATTAATATAGTATGACGGCGAATGAAACGATAGGATAAGTTGGATTTAAGAGATAAAAGAATAAAAGATAAGAGGATAGAAATGAACATAAAAATTAGTATTGTAAAAACAGTAACTGATTGGTAAAATTGAAGATAAAAGTGAGAAGATTTCAAATGACAGTGACACAATTTTTTATTGAAATGTTACTGGTAATTAGGAAAAATGAAAGAAGTTGTGCTGGCTGTAGGAAGGCAAAAAATGATGGTGACAAAGACTGAGGATTCTTACTATTACTGTTAGTTAGTACTTAATGTATTGATAGTGACAGTAATAATTATAGAGGTTTGGTACGGTCAGTAAGTAATTAAATAAATGAATAAATAAGTAAATAAGTTTGTTAGTTAGTGTTAGCGATAGAAATATACTTGTACCCTTCGAAAACACCACAGAAAAGTAGGTAGAGGAGGTGGAGAGCTACGAGAAATGTAACAGTGGTAGGTGCGAGAAATCCTTGTTTTCAGAATTGTTGTCCTGCCCACACCAAATGACCGAAAACAAGAATCGCACTACTATGCTGGTGGTAGTGAAGAATAATTATTGAGCGTTAAAAAAGTACTATAGATTTCGTTTCTTTTTATTTCTTGACCGATTTCCTCACTAACATAATAAATGAGTGGGGATAGATCAGTTTGAATCAGGTTAGATTACTGATCAAAATGACATTAAAAGTGAAAAACAATTCTTGCTAGATTAGATAAATTTAGTATTAGCCTTGGTCAAAATTATAAAGATAAAAGAATCAAACCGATTTGCATGATAAAAATAAAAAGTTTAAAGTGATTAGATCAGAACGATATCAAGCAGGATTAAATCAAGACAATTTGCTTCAAACGGTATACATTTTGGATCAAATCATGTCATTAAAGTAGTAGTAGCTACAAAGTAGCAATAAGTAAAAACGATCTCAGGAAGTGTTCTGTCTTCATAGTGAAAATTGCAAAAGAAACGGATAAAAAATGGATTAAACTCTTTTTTCAGAGTTAGATAAGATATGACTTGATTTGTGTGGCAGGAGTACCGACATTGAGTGAATGCAAGTTTTGTTTTTATCCTTTGTTTTATCTGTTTTTTAAAGCTTTTTGAAAATGTCAAAAAACTTCCCACATTTTATTGTTGTTCTCTTTGATCAACATAAATAAATGTAAGTGTGCGTCTAAGTCTTTTCTTGCGCACAAGTATGTATGTCTACGTCTCCGACTGAAAGTTACCCTAAATTTGGAACAGTAAAAGGTGGGCAGCATTTTGTTGTTATTATTGTTGTTGTTATCGGTGGTGATGGCATTAGTGGACGATAGATGGACAATAATTCTCGTTTGAGTGATGCGAAATCAGAACAAAAATCGTGATAAAAAAAGGGAAATTTTCCCCGTTGTCCTTCAAAAATGTTTGAAACGTATTCTATCACTCAAAATAAATATGCAAATAATGACTTGGAAAAATGCAAACTTGTACAATCTAACCGGTAATGCAGACAAGTTTTCCGTCCAGATGAAAACAATGCAAAAGATTCTGAAGGCAACACTGCAATTTCATAACGATAGTGCTGATAACAACAGTAATGACTGTGGTAACAAATGATGATAGTGATAATGATGGATGAGCTATCAGAGATCGATGAAGAAATATGCATGTATATATGCAAGTCTCGCCAACTTTGCAAAACAAAAGAACAAACAAATACAAAAACAGTGATTAATGGAAGGGCGAGATGAGATGATCAGTCAGTAGTCTTCTAGTCATTAATGATGATAGAATGGTCGGCAAGTTTGCGCATCATTCTCGAGATCCGTTAACTTCTGAAGACGGGTTACTCTCGACAAATAATGTATTTCATCAAGCCACAAAATAATATTGCTAGACGTGAAAGTGATCCATTTATTTTGCTGTGAACTTGTTTTACTTTAAAAATTTGCACTGAGCTATTGTAAGTTTTCAGTCGCAAATTTTGGCTTTTTTTTTCAGTTACAAATCATATTTACGAGTGAATCTGCTAAATTTATCACATTTACAGCTTTAGTCAGTGATGAACTTTTTGAAGTCATAGAGATACATACATTATTTTTTGAGAGTAACTCGTCTGTCTTGACAGTCACTAAAAAAAGAACAAATTTTGTCACGTCTTCATTTTAATCTTGAGAGAAGCTATTTATTTAATGAAGACAGCACTGAAAAAATAATAAAGTTAACATGGAAACAATCTGTTTGCTTAATTTCCTACAGTATTCAAATTTCTGAGAAGTAATGCGTACTTGTTAACAGCAGCGACCGACTTGTGCTTAAATGGCTGCATCGCAGCTATTTGCTATTCACGAAAATGTAAAGACTTTGATGCAGTTTCGCACTGTGCATTTTCAAAGGCAACAACAAAACAATCGAAAGTGTATTTGATTTTCACTCTTTATCTACTGTGTTTCTCTTCACAATTCGAAGAATACACTTTTGGATGACGGCGATTTGGGCGAAAATGGACAAAAGAATGTACCGCTTCGATAAATCCGCAAAAAAAACCTAGTAAAAGTTGAAACTGATGGCGAAAATAGAAATAAGAACAAGTTTTTATTGTTGTTTGCTGTTTGTTATTTGTGATAGTCAAAAATTTCACCCGTTAATTGGGTTCACTTAACTGCAATTCCACGGCCCACTCTCGATTGCCATTCCTTCCTCACAATTTGCCTTCTCCTCCACCCTTAGGCAATTTAATTATATCTGCGAATAATAAACCATTATATATATATTGTTTGCTGTATATATATATATATAGCAAACATTATATATTATGGTTTATTATTGATAATAATAATAATACTAATAATAAGAATAATAATAATAATGATAATAATAATATATCAAAACACTTTTCTGCAGGTTTTTTCTGTTTTTAATTTGCCACTGCTGATTTGATTAGAATTCGACAGTAATTTTCTGCAAGGAACAGACTAATCCAAATAGCAGTTTCCATTTCTATAAACTTTATCCTACTAATGAGGATCTGGCAAAAGACGAATAAATGAATAAATGATATAAATATATATATATATATATTTATTTATATTTATTTGTTCATCAATCTAT